AGCACCACATTTCTGGCGTTTCATGATCATATCGTTCACCTAAAGGACATAATGCTTCTAATATTCTTCTATATTCTCCAAAGTTTACATCAGTATAGCCTACACTAACTAGCTTATATTGGGCTCTACTATCTAAATCCATAATAGTGTTTTAGTAGATTATAACGATTTTTAGTGATTTATAGCGTTTTTAGCAAATTCTAGCAATTATTTAGCAACTTATACTAGATAATATCATCATTTAAATTTATACATATTTACTGATTAGCGATTAGATGATTTGTAGCCGATTTGAGAGACTACATAGTGCTAAAATCAAATTCATTTTTTATTCGATTACAAGGCTAATTTTATATTTACATGCGGTTTGTGGATCTCTCGTGATTAATAGGGATTAGCCAGACATGATGTATAACATAAAAATTTGTATCACCCTGGCTCCCAGTCAGTTTCTGGCAATCTTCCCGCACTCAAATCACGAGATGATCAACCTATAGCTAAAATCACACGCCAGTAAAAATTTTTATTGATATATTTCATATTACATAATGCAGTTACATGTATTTGTATCAGAACAACAAAATAAAATCTTCTTGACAAAAATTATTAATTGTATTCGCGCTTGGGTAAACGAGGGCGTCACGGGAAAATCAACTCATTTGTGATATCCTACTTTTTTATGTTTCCCATTTTCACTACTTTCACAACACACTTTTACCTCACAATCTATGATACCATCATGCTTTGAATGTGCTTCATGCTTCTTTCTTTCAGGATTATACCAACAATACGATGATGGCTGACAACCATAGGTAATAGGTGCACCCCATAAAGTAGAAATGTATGAACTTCCAGGTTTACGTTCGCCACTCTGGATCACACTAGCCAAAAGATCGGAATACGTTTTTTCAATAAAATGTTTGTTTTCATCAAAATGAACTAGAGAATCACGAGCGTGGATACAAGGAGCAAGCAGAAATTCAAAATGATATTGCTTAATCAGTTGACAGATGTTTCTAAAAGGGAGAGGATCCTTGATAATTTTGTCAAGAGTTCGTTTAACATGAAGATCTCTTGAATACTCGAAAACAGTCAATGTCTACATTAAAGGATGATGATTTAATTTAGTTATTCCATAAAATATAAGGGATTATTGCAACTCAAACATACCTCGTTCTCATTCAATAACCAACTTGCAGGATAGGTCTTCTCATCTACGAATCCTGCTGAGGTAATTAAAGCTGGGTTGTTATTGAATTCGGTATATTTTTCTATCATTGCTTTATCCTCTTTCAAAGATATATGTTTATGAATTAATCGAAGCCCTAACTCGATTTTACTTTCTAGGGTTAGGGCGAAGACTTTCTCAAGAAATTCATTAAAATCTGCCTTTTTTTTAATCGCTTATCTGCTTCTTCGACACTTAGTAAGTTGTTGTATCTTTCTGCACTGAACTCATTTAAGTCCTCAAAGGTTAACGGGATAACAGAGCTAGCCATTTTTAAATCGCTTGAAAGTAGATGAACCAACCAATAGAAATTTTATATAAAAATCTAACCTTAGAGATCTTTCCAGAAAAACTTTTATAAAAAATCGTAACTACTTAAATAATTCATCTTTTTACTATCAATATGAAACTTTGTCGTTTTTATACCTTATATGTCTGTTATCTTTTCACGATGACAAATGGAAAACCCGATATAGTATATCATGCATCTGCTATTTCCATGATGGGCGTTATAGACAAATGAAAAACCCGATATAGCATATGAGACTTGTAAAAACACATTTAAAAAATTCGAAGTAAAATACTTTATTATATTTTCTCGTAAAATAATACATGAGAAAGGGCCAGTAAAAATGAAGGTAAAAAATGATGGAGTAGCAGGATGTTTCAAGGGAGGGAAGACATAAAAGAACATGCCTGCTTGATAAGCCTGCCGAGCCTTAATCCATGTAGTGGGGGAATCATTTTAATTCTTCGATTGTTTACACTGTTACATTGGGTTTCGTAGCTTCAAATAAAATCTCAAAGGGTAAATAAAACTAAGACAATTACTCAAGGAATCAC